TTTCTTTGGTTGCGCGCTCATTTAACACACTGATAGTCTTTTTGTTCTTCTTTCACTATCTTCCTCTTTCCTGCGCCTCACCTCCATTTTTAGCAAACCGGACGGGGGGTGTGAAATGCGAAAAGAGTATTCTTCCATTATTCCATCATGATATCCTGTTCAGGAAGGTGGAGGAGTCACCGTTCGGCTGAAACCTTCATCCTAGTTTTTTGCACGTAAACCAAATGCGCGGCACGTCCCAGAAAGGCTTATTGGCTCTCAAGCTCAGATGCTCTTCAACAAACGTCAGTCTCTAACCCATAGATTGCCCCACGTAAGACGAAGGGATAAACTCCCCACTGTGGATCAAATCCTTCTTGGAAAGCTGCGCCGTCCCATCTCCACTCAGAATCATAGCGGTTTATCAAATGCAGGCCTATACATACAAGGACATGACGGCCGGCTGAGGCAGAACCTAGGGTTTTTTATCCTCCCAGGCGAATATGGCACCACTTCATGGAGGATGGAAAACTAGGTTGTACTGAGCGGGAGCCGATCCACGATTTGATACCCATATCATGCGCATGGTAAGCAGGGCACATCGTTGTTGGGGATTTCCCAACAGGGGGTCGTATTTGGCCGCTGGGAAGAGGGGGGGGTCGTAATTAGTCCCTCACTCAGTAACGAGCAGCGCAAAGGTGTCAGTAAGCTGGTCCTGTATAGCGAAACTTGCTTTGTAGAGAACCCGGAATGTGTAAAAAAATAGTACCACTACCACTGGTTACCACTGTTAAGCGTGCCACCTGCCACACTCTCAAATTTATGAGTTCGATTCACGTTTAACAGAATGTGTCATCAACAGATGCCGGTAGTGAGGTTCACGTCGAGGAGGTCGCGTCACGTGTTCGCACTGTGACCCAATTGACCTGCTATGTACTGTCAACTAGCTAGGAAACATTAGCTAGTTGCTGCTGCTAGCTTCAACGTGGATCTCCTGACCCGGATGTCGAATTTTCGGCACAGTTCGGCTCTTCAAGGGCACCGAATGGTATCCAGCAAAGTTTGTCGAAGTGAGGGCTTTCGTAAATTGTAAATTCCCCTTACTATGCTCAACTGCACCCCACTTCGTAGCTACACAAGAGTTCACAAATTCCACTGAAGTGAAACTTGCTAGTTTACATGAACTGACAGAAGGAACCAGCCAAAGTGCAAAATGTACCCCACCCCCCCCCCTCCCTCCACACGTCCTTCTCCCTTGGCTGAACACCTTTGCTCCTTGATAATCCCCGTTTCTGAATCAGGAAGTAGGATATAGGGGCAAAATTTGCTTGAAGGAACGGACCTTTCTGGCCTCTTGCACCTTAATTTATTTCAAACTGAGACCTTGAAAGCCGCAGATGATGATGAAATGCCAGCAACCTGAGTTGGTCCCGCTGGTCTCAAAAACGTGAGACACGGGCTCAGCTCCTGACTGAGGATCAAACTGTTCAGATTTTTTCTCCTCGGCCTTTCCACTCGAGCAATTCTAAACACGGCTCGGTGACGATGAAGCGTAGTCATTCTAACACTTTAAATTGTTTTTGATTTCGACTTGATAATTCGGAAGTATCCACTTATTAGCATGACCCTTGTCATTTCCTTACTCCTTCTGAATTTGGGGGGGATTGAAACAAGTCCACAATGCCATACGAATGTGGGGGCAGCGCTATTGCAGCTGAGTGCTTCACTTTTCGAGAACATCCTTGCCACATTAAAGGCACGGTCCGCGATCAGGTATCGAAGTTAAGAATATGGCTCAGGAGGTTAAAGTGGTCCGCGACGAACAACCTTGTACCGGTTTCGTGGCAAAAAACCCTAAGGAGGGGCGCTATAGCGCAATATAGTTTCAGTGGTTCCTCCTTTTTTCCAGTGACCCCGCCTCCAGACTCCCGCCTGCCAAAAGCCTGACTGTTCATTGCAAAACGACGAGTGTCGAACGAAAAAGCATGAAAATCTCGACACTTTTGCAAGTCGTACAGATCTCAATCGGTGAATCAGCTGTGCATATGAGGGCGTAGTTTTGGAGATAGAGTTGATTGGGCACGTACAAACTGGGATCGAAATGGGGTTCTATCTAGGGCAGGTGGCATGTTTTTTGTGCTTTTTTCTTCACTGTCGAGTTACTAAACCCTTGTCCGGTCTATTAAGTGCAGCCCCCTAATTCAGTATATGGGATGGCAAATAATCGCGGGTTCTGCCTTTGAATGAAAGACTACGGTGGATTAGGGAAAGCAGGTTCTCTGGGAGAAATAAGGTCCAGGATAGATTCTGCACTATGCGTGCGACAACGGTGCCACTTGCCACCGGGGCAGAGCCCAGTGGCACCGAAAACACTGGAAAAAAGGTGTGATTTCTGGAAGTGACGTCGACAGCAGCGGTGGTGACAGCCGGGTGGATGCTGTGCGACAGGAAAGATGGCCGTTGGCGTTGATTCATTGCATTCTACTCAGATTGCGCTGCGAAAACAACAAGTGTTCCTCTTGGTCCCATTAATTAGGACCACTGTGTAAATAATACCACTCGTTCCATTCCCGTCTGCGGAACGAGCTTACTGTAATACAGTAAGAGCACGGAAGTGCAACATCGCCGATCAATATATCGATTGGCTGCGTAGTCAATGTGAATTTAGTGATTTGAAATAGGTTGTGATTGCTGCTGAACACATTCGCTATCACTGACGGATTTGGCGAGTTTTCATGCGCCGATGCTATCCATCATCGGCAATCGTCAGTCTCCACTTGTCCCCACAATGTCTTCGATATAGCCTGTCCCGATGCTCTCGTACCGATAGCGCTCTCTGAGCGCTCTTATCACAGCGCTCTTCATGTCCAAGTTCTCTCTATCATTCCTTATCCATTTCTGTTTCATCTGACTTGTTTGCGACATTATCATTGCGGATCATGGGACGTGTTAATCGACATCATCATCATTTGTTCTCCTTCAAATTGAGAGAATTTCATTTTCTTCCATTTTCTTTTCTTGTCTGACTAGTTCTCTTTTGGCTCTCGTCCATTATAAGTCTACAGTACAGTACGTTACTAGAAAGGAAATGCCACGCCTCATGAAACCCACTGACGTCAGAGGAAGGGAGGGGGGTAGTCTCGAGGTGAAGGGGTTACTTTTCACGGAATGCCAAAATCTGTTCTTGCATAGCGGAAAAGGGGCGCTGTTCGGCGTTGGGGGGGGGGGGGGGGGG